CAGTTGAGACTTCATGCAGGTTCTGTGTTCACAGTATCCCTTCCTCTCTTTGTTACAAAAGTGAACCCGCCCCTCTCACTTCTCCTGAATATTGCATTGCCTATAAGATTTCATGGCCTTGGAATTTAAAAACCTCCAGGGGCCTAAAGGGAAGGACAGTTTGAAGTATTGGTATCAGTGTTACTAGGGACAAACAGAGGCATTTGATAATGATAAAAGGGGCCAATCCAGCAAGAATATATGACAGTTATATATGCACCTAACAACAGGGCACCAAAACACATGAAGCAAAAACTGACGTAAATGGAAAAAGAGACTAGTTGGAGATTCCAATACTCTACTTCTGATAACTATCTGATAACAGATAGAACAACTAAGAAGAAGACCAACAAGGAAATAGAGGACACGAATAATACTATAAGCCAGCTGGACTTCACAGGCATCTAGAGAACACCCCCCCCCCCCCCCCAACGACAGCAGAGTGCACATTCTTCTCAAGGCAATAGAACGTTCTCCAGGATAAATCAAATGCTAAGGCAAACTTCAATAAATCTAAAAGGATAGAAATAATACAAAAACATACTCTCTGACCACAACAGGACGCTATCAGAAATCAATATGTGGAAATTTAAAGTATGCTCCTAAACAACCAACATATCGAAGAAGAAAGCAAAAGGAAAGTTGAAAAATAGTTCAAGGTAAATGAAAGCAAAGATAAAACACACGAAAAGTTTTGCCGTGTTATTTGAATGTAGCAAAAGCAGTGCTTAGAGGGAAACTTATACCTATAAATGCCTGTATTTAAAAAGAGGATCTTAAATCTGGGGTGCCTGGATGGCTCAGTCAGTTGAGCATCCAACTTGGGCTCACAGTTCGTGAGCTTGAGCCCTATAAAGGGCTCACTGCTATCAGTTCAGAGCCTGCTTTGGATCCTCTGCTCTGTTCCCCCCCTCTCTTCCCCTTCCCTGCTCACACTCTGTCTCTCAAAAATAAATAAACTTAAATCAATAACCTAACCTGCTACTTTACACTGAAAAAAGAAGAGGAAACTAAACAAAGCAAACATAAAGCAGGAAATCATAAAGTAGTGGAAATTAATGAAAAAGCGAATAGAAAAACAGTAGAGAAAATCCAAAGAAATCAGCAAAACTGACAAGCCTTGACTTCGATTGACCAAGAGAGAAAGAGAGAAGACTCACATCACTAGAATCAGAAATGAAACAGGGGGCATTACTACCAGCCTTACAGAAATAAAAAAGATTAGAAAGAATACTATGAACAATTGTATTCCAATAAATTAGATCACTTAAATGAAATGGACAAATTCTTGGAAGGATACAAACTACCAAAACTGACTCAAGAAGAAATCGACAATATGAATAGGCCTATAATAAATCAAGAGACTGAATTAATAATAAGGAAAAAAAACCTCACAAAGTCCAGATACCTTCACTGGTGAATATTACCAAACATTTAAAGAAGAATTAATACCCATCCTTCACAAGTTCTTCCAAAATATAGAAGAGAAGGGACATTTCCCAAATTATTCTATGAGATGAGTATCACCCTGCTACCAAAACCAGCCAAAGATATTACAGGAAAAGAAAACCACAGGCTAATCTTTCTCAGGAATCTAAATGCAGAATTCCTCAAAATTTAGTAGCAAACTGAATCCAGTCACATATAAAAAAAATTCTATATTATGATCAAGTGGTAATTATCCCAGGAATGCAAGGTTGGCTTAACCTCAGAGTTGGCCTTGAGTTCTTCAATACAACACCAGAAGCACAAGTAACGAAAGAAAAAATAAAGTAGACTTCATCAAAATGAAAACCTTTTGTGCTTCAAAGGTCACCATCAACAAACTAAAAAAGCAACCTACAAGATGGGAAAAAAAATCTGCAAATTTTTTATCTGATAATGGACTAGTCTCTAGAATATATAAAGAAATCTTACAAACAACCAATTAAAAATGGGCAGACTATTTGAATACACATTTCTTCAAAGAAGATATACAAATGGCCAATAAATACATGAAAAAATACCTGACCTCATTATTCATCAGAGATCTGCAAATCAAAACCACGAGATACTATTTCACACCCACTAGTATGGCTACAATAAAAAAAAAAAATCAGAGGGGCGCCTGGGTGGCTCAGTCAGTTGAACATCTGACTTCAGCTCTGGTCATGATCTCATGATTCGTGAGTTCGAGCCCCACGTCACACTCTGTGCTGACAGCTCGGAGCCTGGAGCCTGCTTTGGATGCTGTGTCTTCTCCCTCTCTCTCTACCCTCCCCTACTCGTGCTCTGTCTCCATCTCTCCCAAAAATAAATAAACATTAAAAAAGTTTTTTTAATCAGATAATACCAAGTGTCGACCAGGATGTGGTGAAATCAGAGCCTTCATACACTGCTGTAGGAATGAAAAAATGGTGCAGCCCCTTTGGAAAGCAGTCTGGCAGTTCCTCAGAAAGTTAAACGTAGAGTTACCATTTGACCTAGCAACCCCACTCCTAGGTATATACCCAAGAGAGATGAAAACATATATCCACACAAAAACTTGGACACAAGCATTTTAGAAGCGTTACTTATAATAATCAAAAGGTGAAAAACGACCCAAATGAAAAGAGAAACATGCAAACAAGCTGATGCATGTATAAATAAAATACGACACACCCATACAATGGAATATTACCTAGCTCTAACAAGAAATGAAGGGCACTTGATTCACACGCTACAACATGGATGAATCCTGAAAACATGATGCTAGGAAAGAAGCCAGTTACCAAAGACATATATGATTCTATTTATGTGAAGTGTCTCGACAGGAAAATCAATAGGGACAGGAAGTGGATTAGTGGTTGCTTAGGGCTCGGGAAAATGCAGGAATGTGATGGTAGCTGGAGGGTATAGAGTTTCTTTTTGAGGTGATGAAAATGGTCTAAAATTGACTATGGTCATTGTGGCTCCTTTTTTGTGAATCTACTAAAAATCGTTTGAATTCTACACTTCTGACAGGAGAATTGTAGGATACGTGAATTCTGTGTCAGCAAAACTATTATAAAAAGTAATCTAACATAATGGCGGTTATGCACCAAGAAGAAAGCGGGGACTTTGGAGTCCAATAGACTGTGTACTCCAGGTCCTCCAAGAAGCAGGCACCATATGGGATTGGATAGATAAGAATTTTATTAAGGGAAGCACTTGTGTGAGATAAAATGGGGAGGGAGCTAGGAAAGGTTGAGAGAGCTGTCAGACCATGATGCAAGTCTGACCCCGGGTGACGGAGACAGGGAAGGATGGTTTAGAGGAATCACCCTAGTCTGCCATGCACCCCAAGAAAGTGTTGGCAAGGCCGTCGAGGAGTCTTCCGGCCAAAGTTTGCCGTCAGAGGAGTTTTGTGTCACACAGAAATGGATCTGCCTTAGTGTCCCTGCTACACTTTGTCATTGGACGGAGATGCCCACGGGGGATGTGTCCTCCACGCAACTGTGATGATGGATTGAAGAGTGCAGCCGAAACATCTGGTCAACTGAGCTCCCCTAGAGTTGGACACGTGTCAGGCACTGTCTCACGGCCGCCACACAGACTAGGGTTCAAATCCCAGTTCAACAACTTACTAACCATATGACCTTGCACAAGATACCCTCTCTGAGCCAGTTTCCTCATCGGTAAAATGGGGATAATAGCAGTGCCTAACACACAGGGGTATGTATATAAATTGCCAAGCACAGAAAAAGCACATAGTAAGTGCTCAGTAAGTCGTAGCTGCTACTAATATTGTATTTACTACTTGGACCATTATTATTTCTCTCTAGATTTTACATACCTCCACTAAATGATAAATATCACAGTCTGTATATAATGAATAGTCTGTTTATTTTACTTAGTATCATATTGTAAGTCTTCTTCCAAGTAATCATTTGCTCTCCCTAACATTTTAAAGTCTGCATTATATTCTGGAGAGTATACATAACCTAGTTTACTTAACTCTTCTCCTAATCATTAGGGGTTTACAATTATTTTTTTCGGTCATAAAATATTTTGTGGAGTACATGGGTGGTTCAGTCAATTAAGCATGGACTTCGGCTCAGGTCATGATCTCTCAGTTCATGAGTTCAAGCCCGGCATTGGGCTGTGTGCTGACAGCTCAGCGCCTGGAGCCTGCTTCGGATTCTGTGTCTCCCTCTCTCTCTGTCCCTCCCCCACTCAGGTGCTCGCTCACTCGCTCTCTCTCTCCCCAAAATAAGTAAACATTTAAAATTAAAAAATAAAATAAAATAGAATGTTTTGTGATGGATATTTTTATATAGAAATATTTTTGCCCCTGTATTTGATATTTTCCTTCAGGGTCCTGATGAGGATTATTAGCTTAAAGAGTGTGAACATTTTTAAGGCTCCTGATCCACATCGTGCAGTTTGCTGTGCAGAAAGCGGGGGGCTGGTGTACGTTCAAACCCACAGCATGTGAGAGTACTGACTTCTCTGTACCCTTCCCCAGCCTTGGGTCTCGTTCTTATATTTCTAAATATTTGCCTATTGGGAAGGCAAAATGGCATCTTATTTGTTCTCTGTGACTCATAAGGATGAGCCATTTCCCAAATGTTTTTGCACAAGTGATTATTTTGTGAATTGTCCTCGCACGCTAATTTATTGAGATCGTAATTTTTTTCAATCCATTTATACAACTTGTCTGATAATAATTGCCTGAGACGCTTCCCATGATTTTGCCTCTGTTTTAACCGTGAGGAGTCTTGTGTGGGTGAAACCTATTGGCATTTCTTTATTTCTGGTCTCCTTTAAGCCGAGAAAGCCTCCTTCCTGGAGAAAGCAAACCTCTCTTTGCAGATGGCTCAAAGTAAAACCACGGCTTAGCTGCTCAGATGATTTTTTTTTTTTTAATTGTGAATGAGTCGAGTCCAATCTAGTGAGTGACCAATTGCTGGGATGGCCTTCTCAGAAACAGGGTTTCCTCCTCTTTCTGTGTTCTAGGACCCAGGACACCCACTAGGAGGCGCGCGTGCGAGGAACTCTGTGGGTGCAGAGGCGCGATGGACGGGGAGGCTGGGGGGGCGCCCGAGGTGCACACGTCCCCGGCTCCCAGGGACTTCCACTTCTGCCCCACGGATCTGTATGACTCCGAAGGCCGGCTGCGGCTCTTCCCAGAAGAACACACGCGGACGGGAAGACAAGTGCCCGCCGAAATGACCAGCGAGCCCGGGGGGGCGGCCCCAGGTAAGGCCCAGAGCGACCTGGAGGAGGAGGTGCAGGAGCTTGTGGATTTGTACGCGCTTGGAGGTGGTGGCGAGTGGGGCGCGGAGCTCGTGGATGGAAGCGCGCCGCGCGTGGAGGTCTCGGAACCCCGGCTGCACCTGTCCTCGGCGGGGGCGCAGAGGGACTGGCGGCTGGGCGCCGAGGCCGAGGACCCGGGCTGCTTGGGCTGGGGCGCGGCCGGCCGGGACCTGCGGGAAGCCTACAGGTACGCGCACGGCCGGGCCAGCGAGGAGTACGAGTGCTACGTCATCCCCGAGGAGGAGGACGAGGACGAAGCCGCCCTGGTCTTCTGTGTCACTTGCAAAGCCCCAGTAAGGGCGTGCGAGGTTTCGGATGCGCACGGAGAGCATGAGGTGACCCCCCTCAGCAAGGCCCTGGAAAGCGCCAAGGTAAACGGGACTCCTTAGTTCCCCTGACAGTGCGTTTGTGTCTCAAGTTAGGCGGGCAGGGAATGAAGTTAAAGCGCCCGCTACGGAAGAGAGCAAAGAGCATTAATGTCTCCTTGGGATCCTCTGTTTGCTAGGACGAAATTCACAAAAACATGTTCAAACTGGAAAAGCAGATTATCGAGATGGAGAATTTTGCAAATCACTTGGAGGAGGTTTTCATCACCGTGGAGGTAAGAGCAGGCGCGGTGACGCCCTCAGACACACGTGGCTTCAGACACACGTGGCTTCCGCCACGGCTGAGTCAGCGGCTGTGACTGGTGTGGGTTAGAGAACTGCCCGCTTCTCGCCCTTTCCCCTGCCCTCCCAGGGGACCCTGGGCATCTACCTGGTGGAAACTACCTGTCCTCATCCCCTGCTGAACCGGAAGCTCTCCTGGGGAGGCAGGGTCTCCTCTGTCTTTCTATCCTCAGTCCTGCTGCGAGGGTTGGTCTCTCGCATGGCCCAGCCTTGACGAGGCATTGCAAGACACCCGCCCTTCCTGATTATTTTCCCCAGCTGTTATGTTTCTCGTAAGATTAATATGCTTCTGTGCCTGTCACCAAACACGTCACAGTCCCCTGGGTGTACCGAGTAGCATGTCGTACACTGCTGTGATGCCTGCACTCAGCCTCCCCGTCCAGACGAGGCTAAGGACCAGGACTTTGCACCTGCCTTCTCTGCCTGTGGGTGCTCCACCTCTATTAATACAGCCTCGTATCTCCAGGAACACCTCGTATGAATTAGCTAAGCCCCAGGCCCCTGTCCAGGGAAGCTGGAACTTCTTCATCCCCAGTCTTAAGAGGGAGGACTTTGCACTAATCCCATCTGCAGGGCACAGGGACGGAACGAGGGACAGAGGTACAGCCACCTGGACAAAACTCTTTACACTCTCTCTGCTCGCTCATCTCAGGTCAGAGTACCCTCACCCTCAGTGAGGACTCTGACTTTTCCCTTTTACACCAGCACTGGGGAGTCCCCCACTGCTTTTCCTTCTCTGCTGCCATTCTGAGCAAGTCTTGGACACATAGAAGATGTTCAGCAAATACTCCCTGAGTCATCGAGAGAGCCTCTGCTTTGGAAATGTCTCCGTTACCTGGAGAGGGTGACATCAGTCACAACCCACGAAGCTTTCCCAGGCTTCGAATCTAAGAGGACCAGTAGTCGACAGGATTTAATTAACATTACTCATCCCCTGTGCCCCTGGATTAAGTACTGTCGCATGGCTCCCTCTGCCTTCCTACGTTTTCTCATCTATTGGGCGGGACCATCTGGCCACGGCCCCCACTCCCCTCCCCCCTCCCCTTCCCCCTTCACCTTTCTCTTAGTTGATGTGAGGATCTGTGTGATCCTGGCGTTTGTAGGATGCAGGCATCAGGAGGTGGAGGTGAGTGTCGTGAGATGCTGGGGGCTCAGGAGGGAAGGCTAGGTAGGGCTTGCCCAGGACAGACATCTCCGTGGATGTCTGCAGTCCAGGGATATGGTGGCAGGTTGACTCATCTCTGACCATCTTCCTGGGAGGTGGCCCCGACGGAGGTGGCGTGGGGCTGGGGATGGGGTGGGGGGAGGGGAGGGAGGATTGCAAAGTGCTGCCAGGAGTGAAGGCAGTGCTTCTCGTTAAGGTTATCCCAGGGGCTCGGGTGGCTGGGTGGCTCAGTTGGTTAAGCGTCTGACTCTTGATCTCAGCTCAGGTCTTGATCTCAGTGTTGTGAGTTCAAAGCTCACAACTCTGTTGGGCTCTGCGTCGGGCTCCATGGCTGAGCGTGAAGCCCACTTTAAAAAAAAAAAAAGATTATCCCAGGGGCTCTAGCCATAGACTCCTGGTCCCAGCTCCCACTGTACCCACCCCAGCATCCTGGCAAGCGATGATAAGAAAAGGGTGGGGTGACTAAAACATCTCTGGGTAGGTATATTTTCATGCCTCAAATGACTCTGTAGTCGACACACCACGTTCGCTAAAATAACGGCTGAGGTCAACCGTCTTGCAGGAGAACTTTGGAAGACAGGAACAAAATTTTGAGTCACATTTCAATGAGATTTTGGAAACACTTGCTCAAAAATATGAAGAAAAAATACAAGCTCTCGGAGAGAAAAAGAAAGCGAAGTTGGAAGCCTTGTATGGACAACTGGTCAGCTGTGGGGAAAACCTGGATACCTGTAAGGAACTCATGGAAACCATAGAGGAGATGTGTCACGAAGAGAAGGTCGACTTCATAAAGGTCAGTCGGTCATGAGGTGAAACGAGATCATGAACCGAAGTGACAGTATGGCGGGGGTAGGTTAGATTGTCCCCTCTCTGTCTGGAGGCGTTGCAGTTGACCTCTGTGGATCAGCATCCATTTGGTTCCTGGATGTTCACGAACATCCATTTTGTTCCTGGACGAGGCGGTCACCCGTGTCTCTGTGCGCTCCGCCATGAGTGGCCGAGCAGACTCACGCACGGCTGACCCCTTCCCTCCACCACTACTCAGACAACACCAGCCTTCGTTCCTCTGTCCCAGAGACCTGTCCCCTCGCCAGGGAGCTGAGCAACATCAGCGCTCTGAGAGTTTTCTGGTCACCTCAGATGGCCTCTTAGAGCTCTGAGGAGGAGGCGATCCAGGCTAAAAAGGCACCTCCAACTCTCCAGTTACCAGGGCACCAATTTTAAATTTTTGTAAACTCAAACATGCAAAAAAAAAATTCATTTCTTAATTTTCTTGAAATCCAATTAAATCTGACCTCAAGGCCCCATGCTGCTGGGATGTGGGAATTTCAGTCTCAGAGCTGAGGTCCTCTTTCTTCACAATGTCCCACAGGAATATGGCGTGGTTGTGGTGTCCAGGATGTGAGGGAGGGGCCTTCAGCCTCTGGAGCTGCCCCGTTGCCAAATATGGCTTCCACACTGACCCCGCCCATAGTGGTCCCTCAAAGCCCAACAGTGCTTCCTTCCTGCCGTGCTTCGGGCAAGGGACCCGTGACAAGCTGGAAAGCAAGTGTGCAGACACCATTAGAGCCTTCAATACTCAGACCTTTTGAACCACTGGTCCCACAACATCGCTGTATCCCAGAGACATAACCCCGAATGTGGAGAAAGTGATACGTGTGAGAATGTTCTTCTCACTGTTATTTGTGATGATGAAAAATTAGAAACAACCAAAATGTCCCTCAACAGAGGAATGGTTAAGTAAACGATGGAACTTCCATTCCGTGAACGGTTCTGCAGTCTTTTGAACTGGTGGGCCGAAAGACCATTTGTGACGCGGGGGTCCTTCCATAACGTCCCTGGGGGGACGCAGTCATCCGGAAGAGATCCACAGGAAGCCTGAGAGTGGTTTTGTTAGTGGGGGATATGGCTGTTACTTTTCTCCCCCTAATTTCCAAGTTTTAAAATGTGCTTATATCACTATATAGTATGAAAAATAAATTTATTTTCAAAGTCAACTGAGTATTTTCTCCTTCCCCTCCTCCTTTTCAGGATGCTGTGGCTATGGCTGACAGGTAATGCTTTTGTTCTGACGCACATCTTCTTTCCCGTCTCTTGCTCCTCTAGATACAGATAGACTCAGCTCCCCTTGGGAAGATGCTCCCAGTTACAGTTTTCATGTCTGCCCCTGCGACCCAACAGCGCTGGCTTCGGGGGGACGACGGTCACTAGGACCCGCTAGTACCAAATCTCAGACGGCCCAGCCAGCAAGCCTGTGGCCAGGTCACCCCGTGAGCCCCTCCTTTCACCAGGAGGAGCCAGGGTCCAGTGCCTCCCCCATCCCTGAGCTGTGCCAGGACCCAGACTGTGTACTGCAGAAAGCACACACGTTGTAGAGTCGGACAGGAGTTCAAATCCCGTTACCCCCACGACCCTGGGCAAGTCCATCCAGTCTAGGACTCACCTTCCTTATCTACAGACAGGGATAGTTTTACAGGAGTTAAACGAGACAGTGTCTGTAAAGCCACATGAACATTGAAGCTTGATGACATAAGGGGTAAGAAGCAAAAGACAGACCTGGTTTCAAGGTCCGCCCCTGCCACCTACAAACCCAATGACTGCCAGGAAGCAGGTGCAAGAAAACTCATAGCCCCAGTCTACCGTCAGCGGGTTGAGTACGCTCGGCCCCATGGAGAAGAAACCCCAGAGTCTGTGCATGTCAGGGCCTGGGGCGGCAGGGGGATGGCAGCTTCCGGGTCAGCACCGGAGAGGTCTTCCAGAGGGTGTAGATCTGGAGCTGTTAGGCACCTGCCCCCCAAATGGCCCACCCCTACCCCTCCCCTCTAAGGCACAAACCAATTCCTCCATCCACCCCCTGGGTCAGTCACCAAAGCAGATGGCAGCCAGCAGCCAGCAGCATGTCAAAGAAATAAAACTTCAGCAAAGAGGCCCTTCGTGTTTATTACCGGTGACCCAGCACTGTAGACACACACCCTAAGGAGCATGTCCCTTCGTTCTTGTGAGCATGGCTTTTTATACCAACAGACTGGGAAAATTCTTGAATACAGAAACAGACGTGGAAATCTCTGCGCAGCCTGACTTTGAAGACCAGACCTTGGACTTCTCTGATGTGGAGCAGCTAATGGGCTCCATTAACACCATCCCAGGTGCATATTTCGCCTGTGTGCATACTTCATAGAAAGTTCCAGGTCCCTGAGCTTTGAGTTAGAAATTTTGATGGCTAAAAAAAACCCCATAAATATTTAGAAACAGGTTTTTTCTTTTCTTTTC